TTTATTTTAGAATGGTATTAGTGAGAAATTTCTTAGGCGGAGAGGCCATTTTGGCACATTTATCCATAAATGTCACCAAACTGTGCCAAATGTGTTTTTTACATCAATACTGGGGGTTTGGTAAAATTATGAGGTCACGTAGCAGCTGGACCCACCGGTGGGTCAATGGGTTCTAGGGGTTAATAAAAATTAAAATCTTCATTCATTACAAAATTATTCTGTGCATATCTGGAAAAAACAATGCCGTGAGCGTTTCTACTGTCAGTAGTTTAAACAAAGACATTGACTTTGCTGGAATGAAGCAGATGACGGAGCACAGAGCGATCATTCCTGCCATCTGTTTGCAGTGCTGTGGGCTTTTTTCACCTCTACTTTCCTAAGTTCTCCCAGGGACACTGGAAAAATGATCTAGAAATAAGTAAATATTTCTTACCCTTGATTTGAATAGGTAAATGAGATATTTTTCCAGTAGAATCAGTATTTCTACTCTTAAAGTAAGATAATTCGATAATATGCACTTGAAATAAGACAATGTAATTGTGTTTTCTTATTTTAAATCTAAATGTTCTTGTTCCATTGGCAAAATGTCTCTTTTATCTCCTGAATTTAAAAACAAATGCACTTATTTTAAGAAAAAATGACTTATCTAGTTTTTTTTCAGCACAAACAGAATCGTCTTTTGAATCAGGCACCTCTTTGCACACCTAATCTTTGTCGATCACCTGCATTATACCACCTTTTTTTTTTGTTTAGATTAGCAGTTCTGTGCTCTGCTTTTAGTATCTCAGTGGATCACAGCCCACATGTTCAGTAGTTTGTTCACCATAACGATCCTGGAGTTTGTTCAATACACCAGGCTGCTTGTTTTCCTCTTATTGATCCATTTTCTCTCTGTGTGTTTTTGCTTCATCTCTCTGTTTGCACCAGGAGGGCCGCAGACCAAGCACCAACATTTAACTCTGAGTGATCCTTCCTTCTGCTCCTCTAATGCAAGATTTTACTAACGTTAAAGATTTACCTGAATCCAGACTGAGAATTTCTGCATGCCTGGCATTTTTAACAGCTTTTTTTGTTTGTTTTAACTTTTTAGAATGTTAAAACTTCTGCACCGTGTATGTAAAACATGACTGTAAACACTGAGCTCATGCAATAAAAATCCCATCACTGTTAAAATAGAAACTTTTGCTTCATTTGAAGATTTGCTAGGTTTAGCTGATAGACAGAATAATGAGCAACAAGATTTAAAAGTTTAAAATTCTATGGAGATTATTTATTTATCCACCTGTTGTCCCAATAGTTTTCTAGTTTTCCTTCATAAATAACATAAACTGGGCTCAGCTCTGTAGACTTCCTCACTTTCACACTTCTTTTTAGCTCTGCTCACAATATTTCCATGAAACTGACACCAGATGGGTGTTTCATAAAACCGCCTGAGAAAAACTGCCAGACTTCCACACATCTAGTTTCCTGTCCATAGATCTCACAGTTTTAGTCCCAAAAAAACTGCTTTTAATTCAGATTTAGTCACAAAGACCCTTTCTTTGACTAAAAAAAGACAGCTAAAAAAGAAAATTAACGCCCCCCACAATTATATTGCAGTAGTAACACTAGTGGTGTGATATATAGTAACAACAAGGAAACCGGTGTTTGAAAGGTATTTACATTCA